TATACTTGACAACACATTTCCAAAGTGCAGTACATGCTTCTTGTCCAGCTCTAACCACTTCTGCCAGTAGGTAAATGCCTGTCAACTTCCAAGTAGTTTTCCAGGTGAGAGTAAAAATATTAAAAGAATAACAACACTGCTCCTTTTTTAAATTAGAAAGCATAGCCTGATCAATGATGTTAACCACAAACCTTGCATAAAAAAACCAAAACCATGTGAGACTATGCAAATGATATACTCAGGGGAGTAACAATTTTAGTATTAAATCTTTCATTAATTTGTCAAATATACCTGGGGAGTTTCCCATTTCTTCAAATTGTCATTACTTTCCAGAAAAATCACTTTATAATAGTAGAAAAGTTTTCTGTCCTCCACATAATCTAGCAATTACATGGGCAACTCAATTAATACGACAGCAGTCCAAACTGGGAGACAACTCAATTGGCAAAAAAATTTGGTAACTTATTTTTAAAAGCAAAGACCCAGCACATTTTTAGGCTAAAATAAATAGAATTCAACATCTTAGTAATAAACCATATTCAAAACTTCAAAATTAACTAACCTAATGGAAAAAAATGTTATTTTTACAAAATTATAAAAGTAAAAGAAAAAGAATTGGGGAGGAAAAAAATCACATAACCAATCACATGTGTTAACTCCATGATTTAAAACGTATGACAATTCATTATGAATACACATCAAGAAATGCATTTATATACACTTTTAAAAATTAAAATACAGAAGTCATACAACAAAAACATCTTAGAGGCTTTATTACTTTGTCACTAGTAAGATACTCCAAGGAATATGAAACAAATCATGATTTGAACAAACAGTACATTTGTAAGCTTCAGAAAATAAAGCATTCCAGACGACTGTCAAAGTACATCAATAAACTTAAAACAACTACCACTAAAATGTAGGGATAAAATGCTACCCCTACCAAACAGAAAGTACCGTCGTAAGCATATAAATGCAAGCCTTAAAATATTTTAATATAAATATACAATTATAATCACAGCAACAAACACAAAACAGAAGTATATTAACAACATTCCAGGATTCGTGATTACAGGTTTGATTTCATAAATGCTGGAACTCTAACCATCAAGTAAATGCTTTGATAAATCATATCAAAATTTCCTAAAATGTCAAGTGTATCAAAAGAAATATAGAGTCAGATAAAAATATAAACTGAGAGGCATCAGTCAAAAGGTCCTTTTTGCGATTTCATTTTTAAATGTACATTTTTTCATTCATCTAACTTTCTCAAATGTCTATTTACTATAATTTACTACTACAAGGCTCCTCTATGGCCCTCAGATACAAGTTTGGATATCCTAGATTCTTCAAAGAAAAAATTTGCCTTGTATGTAAAATGGTGCAATGCAGCAATGGCTAAACCGACAAGGTCATTTTTCTGCAGTACAAAACCCTAAAAACTGAAATTTACTGACAGAAAAACTGTAGATTACAGGAAAGGCCCCTTTGAATAAAGGTACCTTACCTTTTGACTGCTGTAACAGGCCTTAAGTCACAACTCAACTTTCATAAATTGCTACCAAAAAATTAGGGTGTGGCATATTAGCAATCTCAAGGTCATGCTTTAAAATAACGAATCCAAATTAGAAAAATACTTATAATAAAACAGACAGCACGCCGTGTCTGTCAAGGTAAACAATTGTAAGCTGAGGTTTCCCCAAAAAAAAGACAAAAAGGAAGAAAGTTGATAGCTCATACCTCGATGCATTGCTGTGTAGCGAACTGTCTTCCTCTTGGCTTTTGTCCTTATTTCTCATCATCTTTTAATTCTTAAATATTAAGGGGGAGGGGGAATCTGTGTTTGCTTTGAAGTCCTGTGCCCAGGTATTTACTGTCAAAAGTTGAAAGAAAGGTAAGGTCCCGGCTTCTATCGATGGTTTTTATTATCAGGAACAAAGTCCTGACGATGTTAACGATATTGTTATAATACAACAACGGCAAGCACTAAAAAACAAAATATTTCTACTTTTTCCTTTAAAAAAAAAAAACACAGGGTAAACCAAACAGTGGAAGCATCACTATCAATAAGGAAAGTTTCTCAAAGTAACACACTGGATACAAATAACAATCTCTTTTATCTTATTGCGTCATCCAAGAATTTCTCGTATTTACAGAAAATAAAGCAAACTTTAACATATAAACGTTTAAAATTATCACTAATGATCGTAAACTTACCTGATCCATGTAGTATGTCCAAAGCAAGAGTCCTATCTAGTAGTAGAAAAATATCAGATCCCAAATAATTAAAAATAAAGGCAAAATCCTCCGTTAAAAAACAAAAAATAAATTAAATAATCCTCAAATATGTTAACTGACCAAAAAAATAAAGCAATAATTAATACCAAAACGCGTCCGAAAGAAAAAAAACCTCATTAGGAGAGCGCACAAAAATGGAGGTGCGCCATGGCTTCTAAGCTGGAAAAAACAACGACCTGGGCTCTCAGTACGGCTGCTTCTTTCCAACAAGGCACGAAAAGAAAGCTCTTAAAAGCTGCTTTTCTCCCTAAAAAAGGTTCGAATCGACCCCAGTAAGTCACCAGGAGAGGCAGGGGGCTGCGGGGGCCCCCTGAGGCTGCCCGAAAGTTAGGGAAAGTTGCGTAAAGTGAGGCAAAGGCAGGGAGCAGAGCGCGCTCTCTCTAAGGCACAGCCGCCATCTAGAGCCTCCTTCCCAGCTCTGAGAGCTCTGCCTTTGATTGACACTCTCTACATTTACCCCACAACTCAGGTGATGTACCATAGACCCACCCCTTCATCTCCACCAAAAAAAAAAAAAAAAAAAAAAAAGATCCTCCATCCCAGGGAGCCTGAGGACCCCCACCCCCACACCTCCCTGCCCCTCCAGACCACCCCAACAGGGGGAGGGGGAGGGCTTCTTAACCCCCTCTGGCTCAAGCACCCTTTTTAAGCCAGAGAGAAATGTAATTTGTTCCTTTTGTCTAAAGATCTGCTAAATATTTCAGTCCTTGAGCTAAAATAACTTCCTCCCTGGACAGGAAGTGGTGTTTTATCAAGCCATTTTGAAAAAGGGATAATTCTTAGAGAATATAAAGCTCAGCTTAAGTACTATTATTTTTAAAACTTAACCCCCCATGGGTAAAAATGGTCCTAAATAAAAGTAAAATCTTAATTTCATAAATGAAATTTAACTTATACCTTTTTTATGATGCCTAAAAATCATGAGAACAAAGTTTAAGGGGGAATTTTCCATCCCAACTGAAGAAAGGGGTAAATTTTACAACTCAAGAGCGCCTCCCTAGTGTTCAGTTGCATTAGAGCAAAAATTAATGCAACCAATTTTTATTCAAGAATCTAGATTTTTCTTTGTACTTTCACAAAATTATTTAACCCATTATATAACCTTGGAAACTGTACCCCCTCCCCCAATTACCATAGCCACAATATATTTACTTCCCACACTGATTCAGGCAAAACAAAGATCTTCAAATTCAAGAGTATGGACCAACCACGGTCACCTTTAAATAAGAAACCAATAAATTCCACCTCCAAAACCATCAGCACACATATCTCAACACTTCACTTATATTTCCAAATTATAATATACACCCATTCCAACAATGGCAAATTATTAACAACTGGTAAAATATTATAGCAAATTATCATTGTAGTCACAGGGCAAAATTCTCCAAAATTTCAAAACCATGTGATCTATAAAAACAAAATTAGCACTAACTCCAAAACCAAATATTTCATATTCTCACCAAGTACCCCATATAGACAAGTAAACACATCCACACACTCAAATAATCCAAGCAAACATACACACACACCCAAATAATTGAATCAACTTTCCTTACTCAAAATAACGTGGCAGAACCAAGTCCTTCCCTCACTGGGGAAATCCATTTTAGATTTACACCAAACAAAAATAATGTGGAATCTGGATAAGCACAAAAACTCCATAATCGAAACTGTACCAATTCCATACTTTCTACGTGAGTTTTATATCAAGATCAAAATCCAAAATCCCACTTTTGAATTTACACAAAAACCAACTACCTCAAATTAGTCAATGAGAACAGTGCGCATGTATTGTTCATGGATGTTTACGCTATCATATGTTGACATTAATCACAAGCTCAGCATGGTTAACAAAATAAACTTAAGCTGAACTATTCTTTTTCTCTGTATAATGGGAAAATATAATCGATTCATTTGGTATACCAAAATAAAGCCTACTACCTTTGTAATAGTTATTGAAACTGATATTAGCTGTTTAGCAATCAACGAAAACCTGGCATTTAAAACTCTAATGTATGTAGCAGCCTATGACATAGTGATGTGATTCATTTATTCTAAATTCCCAACTGTACAGAAAAAAGATAATACATTAATTCTACTTCAAATTTATATAAAATGTATTATACACATAATTGCCAATACAACTTTAAGTCCTTTTGCAATACCCTAAGGACACCAACCTATAAATACAACATTTCCTCCTCTGGAGACAGCTTAATTTAAATATTCAGATGAATAGTCTATCAAGATATTTTATTTATTTATAAGTCAAACTATTTCAATTGACACAAAAATAATTCAGGGAGAAACACTAAACCACTCATCCCAAATTCTGAGGCAACAGCATTTTGTTTTAAAAGTTCACTTGTTTTGAAAGTTCACTAAAATCTAATGGCAGATTAAAGACTCTATTACTACCTACTGACGAAATTTTTTGAAAGGTGTTTCATGAAACCACAAACAAAATAGCATTTCAACCAAATGACAATCTCAAGTCACAGACAAATTTCCACAACTTTATGAAAAGACAAATCTTCATCAACCAAGTAAAACATTTTCCAGCACACCATTTCCATTTTGCCAGCTTTATTCAGTACACTTTACTACTGGGCAACTGTAAAGGTCAAAATAGTATTAAAACAGTAAGTGAACATTTAATGAAATGTCTGCTTTAAAAAAAAAAAGCCCAAACTGAGAAATTTGAAAGTGTCATAAATTTTATTAAAGTTAACATTCCACGAGGTTATACTCATACAAATCAAATGGAAAAAATTCCAGGCATACAAACTTTATCAGTGTTCAGTGTGCTACTTTTCTTCTCCAAATGTCAAAATGTACTTGTTTCAATGGCTCAAAAAAGTCTTTGGAAAGTCAAATCCACTGTCCATTTGTGTTGAATAAGAAACCTATGTCTTCACTTCATGGAATCCATGTTAAAAGAACCCTGTCTTGTAGTTTATTATCACAGGACTCTTGTATTAATCCATTTTCCTCAATTCCCCATAGTGGAGTGCCATCTTGATTTTTCAGTGGTAAGATCCATTTGAGACTCTTCAAGCTGACTGGGTGCTTGATGAAAAAATTAAAAGAAAAAAATGCTGTTGGAAATCTCAGTCTTTCAAACAGAAAACATCCACCCACCTTGAAGATATCCTACCATACAACAAGCTTTAATTTTGAACCAGCTTTCAACTGTGAAACCATGAAGTTGTATGCAAAGCACACACATAACTCCTCAATGATAGAATCAATGAAAGATTGTACACAAAAGTAACAAAGTTCTACTGTCAGATGCACTTATTTGTATTCAGAAAAAAGGAGTCAAATTTTTAATACTTAACACTAACATCATTATACTGTGTACATGTATAAAACAAAAATTAAAATTCAAAATTCCTGGAAAGCTAAATTACAGACACACTGTGGATTCTAAATCTCAATGTAGAAAACTTTCCAAGCTTCTTCAAAGAAAACTAATTATAGAAAAGAACCTTAAGGGATTGAAAAGAAAAAAAAAAAAAAACAAAGCAGTGGATCACATCCTAGTTTTCCAGTCCAGATGTTAATTTTGTTTAGATAATGTAAACAGCCAAGGTAGATGGCACCATCTTTAGCTACATAGCTAAGAACACAGAAAATATGTAGCCATCAGGAAAAAAAAAATGAACATAAAAAATGCAAAATATCTGCCTGGTTTATTTGATATTTGCCATAAAATGCTATGTGTTTTCAAATTATATACAACTAAAATACTCTTAATGCCAAAATATCAAATGTCCCTCACAGAATAACTTAAGCTGAAGGGAGAAATGAGAAGTCAGGTTATTTTTACTACCAAATAAATAATCCAGATTCATCATGATCGATTTTCTTAAAATAAGTTTTAAACCCTAGCCTTCTCTATAAATTTTCCAGCTCTCCAACTGAATCTGTAAGATACAGTAAAGGATGACTGAACTGGCGGTAAATAAATATAAGGGCTTTTTTGTTCATTAGGTAATTCCTTATCTCCTTGACAATAATTAGGATACACGGCTTACTATATACAATACAAAAATCTACCTAATAAACTTTGGTTAACCAAGACACTGCCATCCATATTTTTAAAGACACTGATTAAAAAGAGTGTCACATCAGTAATAAATATCAAAAGCAAGATATTCCATATTCCTTCATAGAACTAAATGACTAATTTTATTCCCCATATCAATAAAATATCTTCCATTTGACTTTATTCCTTAAAATTAGAGCATGTACTACAAATAAATATAGAAATAAGTATAGAAATAAAAATACCACCATTCTTCTCAAATCATAAACCAACATCTTCTCAATCTGTTATAAGATTCAAACTCTAAATGAGGTTAGCATTGTAAATATTATAATGAACAATGACACTAAAAATGCATTAACATCAAATTATAGTCATAGTTCAATAGCTAGAGTTGCAATTTTTTCAATTTATACCTTAAATGAAAAACTCAATGCTTTACATTGTTCTGTCACAGGACAAGAGTTTAACAGGGACATGATACAAAATTTCTTTCTAAAACCATTATTTAAAAGAAAGTCAAAGGAAAAGTTAATGACCTTATTAATGTCACGTCAAAACTACTCAATAAAATGTACTGTGATAATAGCAGAGATTAGAAAACAGTAGTGTATTTGTCATGCTATCACAGTCATATATTTAAAGATAGCAAAAAAAAAAAGAGAGAAAGAATGCTACAAGAGAAAACCAACAACTCTTATGTCATTAAAATGCCATGATCAATCTGCACTCTTGCAAAGCCAATTCAAAGCCAAAAGTGAGAATTTTGTTAATAAGCACATGTGCTCAGTCACACATCAAAACATGTAAAAAGTATCAGCGAGCAATTTAGGAGCAATCTATTTATTTTTGTAGAATTCCAAAATCTTATAAAAACTATTATTTACAAATAAGCAAAGTTACATTGAAAAATAAAAAAAGGATTAGACAGACTGCATTCTGTGAGCCTTGAAATTTTCTTTGAAAAACAAATTCATAATTCTTCAGCTGTAAAATATAAATAATCATAGTACCTACCTCTGGTGGCAGTAGTGAAGATCAAATGTAAGTTAATACATTTATAGCACTTACATTGTCTAGCATATAAGATCTTAATAAATGTTAGCTCTCATTCCAAATCAAAGCTATAATTTGGTTACACCACAATTATCCGAGTACTTGAGGATCTAAGAACTAACCTTATGGAATCAAAATAATTAATATTATAATTTATATTCCAGTAGTAAAACTATCTCTGAAAAATATATGGGGTCAGTGGTCTTGCTTTAAAATAAAATCAATATCCTACAGAAAACTGGGCAGGGTTTAGATCTCAAACCCTTACTCCACTTCCCTCTCCAATAATGTATGAATTACTGCAGACACACTGAAGAGATCTAGAATTCCATAATCAGACAGACCTAGATATTTTCTGTATTTTACATATTAGCTTTAAGCACCTAATATGGTTAGAATTTTTCCATTTTGATATTCACTCCTTTATTTAAAAAATTTGCTTGTTCTAAGACCACTCCCATAGCAAAAATAAAAACTCCGGTGGTAAGAAAGCTTCAATGAGTAACTGCTACCTCCTAAAATCCCCAAATATCATATACAGAAGAATATAAAATTGAGCACAGAGATCTTCTCTTTATTTTTAATCTAAATAGTGAGAGAGAGGCTCTCACTATGTTTCCCGAGTTGGTCTTGAACTCCTAGGCTCAAGAGATACTCCCACCTCAGTCCCTCTAGTAGCTGGGAACACAAGCATGTGCCACTGCACCCAGCTAAGGACTTTTCTTTAAATTCTATTTGAGTAAATAAATATGTTCCCAAAACACTGGGACATCATAAAATACATTGTTAGTTGAAATACAAGCCAATTCATCTGGATTGGGGGTTTAAGAAGGGTTCTCTTAAAATAATCTTCTTGCCTCTATTTTTCAGCAAGTGTTCCCATTTTTAATAGCAAAGAAAAATGTGGAGGGGGGGCAAGAGAGTAGTATATGTAAAAAGAAATGAATAATGATTCTTAATTTTTTTAATGGATGGCTCTAACAAAGCTACTAATATATAATGTACTTCTATCATTTTAAAAGTTAAAAACTGGGCAACCCCTTCGGGTCCCCTCCTACGGTGGGAGCTTTTCTGTCCTCTCAATAAATCCTGCTTAAAAAAAAAAAAAACTTAAAAATTTATTTCAAAACTAAAGGGATAAATAGGTACAAAACTATAATCTAGAGCAAATATCCATCCTTCCCATCAGGTAATTAAGATTCCTCATGCTTATGACTTGATCTCAATCTTCTTTGTTGTAAAGTTGTAAGTTCACTTATGTTATCAGTGCCAAAAAATAGCTTGAATCTTCAATAGAATATATAGTAACAATTCTGGGTATTAAATAAGATGGGCATAAACACTAACTATAAAATAAACAAGATTAATTATGACAACTAAGAAAAGGAATAATCTAATTTAAGGTTTTATATCAAATCAAATCTTCCTATAATTGTTCCTACTGGTTTAAAACTTAACGGTAAGGTGGGGTACAGTGGCTCACGCCTATAATCCCAGCACTTTGGGAGGCCAAGGTGAGAAGACTGCCTGAGCTCCTGGGTTCCAGACCAGTCCGGGCAACTTGGCAAGACCTCATCTCTACGATAAATCAAAAAAATTAGCTGGGTATGGAGGTGCATGCCTGAAGTTCCAGCTACTTAAAAGGATTGCCTGAGCTCAGCAGGTCAAGACTACGGTGGCCGTGATGGTGCCACTGCACTCCAGCCTGGGCGACAGAATGAGACTCCAACTCAAAAAGAAAAGAAAAAAAACTTGACTGTAGGCCGAGTGCGGTGGCTCAAGACTATAATTCCAGCACTTTGGAAGGCGAAGACTAGAGGACTGAGGCCAGGGGTTCGAGATCAGCCTGGGCAACTTGGTGAGATCTCAACTCTACAATAAATCAAAAAATTAGCCAGGCGTGGTAGTACATGCCAGTAGTTCCAGCTACTTGGAAGGCTGAGGCAGAAAGGATCTTCTGAGCCCAGCAGGTTGAGGCTGTGGTGGTTGTGAGTGTGCCACTGCACTCCAGCCTGGGCAACAGAGACTACGACTCAAAAAAAAAAGAAAGAAAGAAACCAAAAGACTTGACTGTATATGCAAGCTAAGAGACAGAGCTGAAGAGAAAGAGAGAAGTCACTTCAAATTTTTACTGAGTCAAAATTCTGGCTTTGAGGCATACCTAAAAATAAATATTTAATGCATGAAAACTTATGCTTTATTAGTGAACTATACTTTGTTTATTAGACCCAAAACACTAGCTGATAAACAATGTTTAACAGAAGTCATATTTATGCAATAAATCAAGTACTTATGGAGCATCTACTTATGTGCTAGGCAACTAATCTCTTTACAGTATGAAAGCCAATAACTGTACTGCATTAGGAAGGTTTTCACCTCTACCCTCACCATTCCATTATCAAAAAACAAAAAAAGACCCTTCTATTTTCCAGCCCTATTAGCCATTTGTACAATGCAAGCTAAAGAAGCAATAGGCAAAAGTATCTAGATTCCCAAATATAAGTAAAAAGTAATTTTTTTACAAAAATAGCTAGTATGTAATTACTAGAAAAAATTGTCAATAAATAAATTCTTTTGAGAATCTACCCACATTCATTTATACAACCTTCTTACCAACTCCTTCCCACTATTTATCAGGTTGAGAGTTAAGAAAAACTATTCCACAGAGGTGGTAACCACATCTTCTAACATCAAACATAACTTCAGTCTCATTCAGGCAAAAGAACTTTTTGTTGGCCTTTACATTTTAAAAGTTCATTTTTAAAAAGTTTGTTGGCCTTTACATTTTAAAAAGTACATTATTACAAGTAATTACAACACTGAAAATCATTAAAAAGTACGTTTCTACTGCCAAAAGAGAAACCTAGGGCTTGAGTTCTACACAGGTAGGGTAAAGTTGTCAAACGGGATAGACGTAGGATCCAGGGCAAGCTTCCCATACAGAACAGACAGTAAAATATTTTAGGCTCTGTGGCCATTGGGTACAACTCCTCTCAATTCTGCCATGTTAGTGAAAAAGCAGCTGCAAACAAGACTAAATAAAAGAGCACAGCTGGGTTGAAATAAAACTTTATTTATAAAAACAAAGATGAGTTTACCAACACCAAATCTAAGCTACAGTGTTAGAACCATGTTCAAATGTGGGTTTGTTTGCATTTTAGCTTGCTTGAGTTTAAGTGAAGAAAGAAGAAAACAGACTGAGGTATATTGATAAGCAAAATTTAGTAAACTTCATACACATCTAATCATGTTGAGTTTCTTGTTCTGTGTTGAGCTTCACTAAATAAATCCCTCTATATTTTTTACAATTCTGACTCAACTACTCAAAATTTCCCAAGTCATACTTAGAATTTAAAAACAGATCAAGCATGTAAATTGATTAATACTTACTCAATGCCTCCACCAGCTTCTACTATGTTGAATGAGCTCTTTAGAGGATTCCATCTGGGGTTCATATTTCTGCAGAAGAGAACAACAACTTAATTGTATGCATAGAAAACAAATAATTAAACACAATTTGTACCAGTTAAGTTCACTCACCAGTAGACCAAAATATACATGTAATTACAAACAATATAATCCAAACAGAAGAAATAAAATTTCTGAGGATATCATAAATTTGTCTGTACAGAAGTTCACCTATAGAATGTTACTATAAAATCACAAGCCTAAGCCTTAGCCCCCAAGAACTCCATGAAAGGAGGTTAATATCTGGGCTCCCTAGGTGGATGTGATGGACAACCCGGGCTAGAAACTAATCTACTTTCAAGTCTTTTAAAGGAAAGTTTATATTACTCAGCTGTAAGGGTATTTCTCTCACTTCTTACTATTACCATATTATGTCACATTATGTCTTTAATCAACACTATTCCTAAGATAAAGTGTTAGAAAGAAATTTTTAGGCATCATTTCATACTACTGTGATTTACTCAAATAAACACTAATCCCCTTCTAAAATATGTACTTGATTACAAAAATACCATGATTTTCACAAGTTAGATTTAAGTATCTCATAACTAGGCCGGGCACAGTGGCTCACACCTATAATCCCTGCACTTTGGGAGGTAGAGGCAGAAGGATTGCATTGAGTCAAGAAGTTTGAGATCAGCCTAGGCAACAAAGCCAGAGGTCTTCTACCAAAAAAAAAAAAAAAAATTTGCCAAGCATGGCGGCATGTGCCTGTGGCACAGCTACTGGGGAGGGGGAGGCAGAAGGATTGCCTCAGTCAAGAGGTTGAGGCTGTGGTGAGGTGTCATTATGTCACTGCACTCCAGCCTGGATGACCTCACACCTCTACAATAAACCAAAAATTAGCTGGGTGTCGTGGCGCGTGCCTGTGGTTCCAGCTACTTGGAAGGCTGAGGCAGAAGGATCGCCTGAATTCAGCAGGTCAAGTCTGCAGTGGCCGAGTCTGTCACTGCACTCCAGCCTGAGCAACAGAGTAAGATTTCGACTCAAAAAAAAAAAAAAATGTACCAACTTAAGGCTTTTAGAAGGCAAAAGAGCAAAGTTCAGGACTTAAGTCATTTTGACAACTCATAATCAAGAAACACAGCAAAGATCTCCTTCAAAATTACTCTAAAAGTAGGTGCTAAAGTTATCTTCCCAAGAAGTTGACAAATGAAGCAATTTAAAAGAAATACAACATTATTTTAAGTTTCTAATTTTAATCTGACCTTTTAAGAAAGAATTTCATGAACAAAGATAAATCTTAAACCCACCAAGTAAAATAAACTGACTTAACTCCTAAGAGAAGAATGGATCTGATTTATGAAAACTTCATTAAAAAAATATAAGTTAAACTTCTCACACTGGTTTAATAACATGCCTATAAGTAAGTTACCTACCTCTGGGTTCTCACACCACCAAAACCAGAATACGGATCTCACTTCGCATCACCAAGAAAATTACTGACACCAATGTAATCTACCACAGCAACTCCTTCCCCATGTCTCATCCCAAAAAACTGTTATCAATGTAATCTACCACAGCATCTTCTTCCTCAAAATTGACCAAGCCTAAAATAGTATTTTGCCATCCTTTGAAAGAGGGGAGAAAGGAGCCGAGTTGAGCTAAAATAAACTATGAAAAAATAGATTTTTATAGTGCTCCTATTTTATTCTTAAATTAAAAAATTGTTTTAAAAACCAAGTATTCTAAGAAGAGTATAAACTGGCTAATAATATGAGAATTGACTGAAGCTCTGCTTGCCTTTTATTTTAAAAGGACCAACAACCAAAATGGTTATGTACATTATATCTATTAATTTATTAAATCAGAAACCATAGTATTGTAAAACATTATGGATAGGTAGAAATAGGAGCAAAATCATCAACTTTTCATAGTTTATTTTAGCTCAACTCGGCTCCTTTTTTGTTCAACAAAAATACAATAGTGATAGTCATTTATACTTCTAAGAACTCACAAACCATAAAGTTAAAAAATGTATAGCTTGATAATCTAAATTGTAATGATTATGATTACTATGTAGTCCATATTAAAGACTAATAACTTGCTTGGTAAATACTCAATTTCAAATAAATGGCTTAGTTTTAAAAAGCAAAGGAATGTTTTCCAAAATACATTACCTATCAAGTGATACACAATGTATAAATCAAAACATTCATCATACTGTCACAGAAAACATGCTACTTGAATGTTATATAAACAATCAAGTCATATCTTATTTAAAACAATGTTCAGAATATGCTTCAATTTAAACTGTAAAGGTTAATTACATTCAGAAATAATAGCCAATTTGAAATTAAAAGAATGCATTGAACCATTCAATCTGGAAGGGAAGGTAGCTGGTAAAATGAAGGCATTTATCCTTGAAGTATAGAAATTTCATAAAAGAAGTTAAACAGACCACAGCAGACAAACTGTAAGTCCTCTTGTTTATAATTATGGTCGGCTAAAAATATTACATAAAAATACATTCAACTTTATATCTATTATTAGAAAAACCAACAACTGAATTTATTGAAGCATTCTAAACTCTGTTGTTTGGAGACAATATTACCCCTAAATTGTCTGCCAACAATCACATGATAAAAGTTTATATAAGAGAATTAGACACTCCTTAAAATTATTTTTATCACACAATTTAAGAGCTAAGAGGGATATTAAGATATTGGAAGCTCCAAAACCTTCATACAAATTATGAGATGATGGTCCATAAAGAATAAAATGTCAAGATTGCAGGTCTTATTTACATTAGAAGCTCCATCTCCTGATTGCTGAGACACAACTGTATTTTCCACTCTATCACACACCCCAGATTAAAGCTAGAGATGTCCCCAACTTATCTCCTTCCCTTTATGCCACTCCATAATCAAAGTCTCAGAGGATAAAAATTACTTGGTTGTCCATAATCCAAATGTTTTAATAATCAAGATACAATTGAATAACAGCAAACTAAACTTGAAAGAAAATTTACACTTGAAATTATGATCTACACCCTAAATGTCATGTCATGGTTTATGAAAGGCTTGTGATTCGGCATGGCTTCCCTTCATGACTATGGAATGTCAGGTAAATTTTTAAAGTTTTTAATCAGAACAAATGCAATCCAACTCAATCACCAGGTTGATCAGATTTTTGTGATTCAAGAAACAGTCCAAAATGCTATAATTAAAGGCAAATATTTATCACTTTGACTCTTAAGTGGAAAACAGTGGTAAATTAGTCACCTTTCTCATGAAATATAGTATTTTAAAATAATGTACCACATTACCAACTATATTTATCTTATAAATTATCTACCTATAAAGGCAGCTACATTTAATTTGTCCTCATGTGCAAACCAATTCTGTCTATTACACAAGATTGGCACAAGCAGTAAATATCAAAACACTGAATATAAGCACTAACAAAGATCAAAGTACTATAGTACTCTATAAAATATGATTTCCTCTAACCCTTTACCTTTATCTTGTTACTTGTAAAAGAAAGCTGTATTGCACCAGATTGGAGATTAATTTAGAGGTTACTATATCATTCAGAAGACTTTTAATTATTGACAATGGGATTAAAAAGATAAAAATCTTCATGCAACATTTCTAACCTTTCCTTTTTTAAAAAATCTAAATACACCCTTAGTAGGCCATTATAAATGTATTGCCTAATTATACTCACGTTCTGCTTCACATAAAAGACCCAATTAGAATTGGGTCTTGTGCCCAATCACAAGAACGCCAATTTGATACTGTTATCAATTGCATAAGGAAGCCTTAATCTTGGAATGTGTGTTAAAAAAGTCTGGAGTGAAAGACGTTTTGATTTTTTTGGTAAACGCTATTATCTTTAAAACACTATAGTTCTAAGACTAATGTTTAGTTTTCTTTTGCACAGTATAATAAATACACATATGAGCAAATCATAAAAAGGAAAGCTTAAGTTGAAGTAAAGGCAATAAAAATATTTTCCTTATCCCCTATTTCAATCATTGGAATAAGTTGACACCAAGCAATACAAGATTTTACTTTACTTTCCACATACATTTTAAAGACAATGGTAAACTTGCCCTTATTTTAATTAGCTGGTCATGTGGTAATTCTTAAAACTTCCAAAAATATCCGTTATTACAGTGCCTATTTCCTCTGGCCTATCACTTTCTATTAACAACATAACATTAATTTTCAGATTCAACGTTAACTTATGAATACAAACTTATTTCCTTAAAAACATCAGTGGACCTATTTTTTAACTTCATGTTATCTAGTTTTAAGATGTGAAAATATTATATACATGGTATATTGGGCCCAACAGCTTTTGTGCCTGAAAATTACTTCTACCTTTTATGCTTTAAAAACAATTACTAAGACTCTTTAGCTGCATTACTCTCATTTCCTAGAAAACATCTCACCTTCATACCTGTTTGAGAACCACTCATGAAACAAGTAAAATGAGTATCTTAAATCAATTGAATAAGTAAAATATGAGGTATCTACTTAGTTTTTGAAAGGTAGTTAAAAATTCTTTGGTCAGCAAATGCAAAATTCTAGGCCACTCCTAAAATGTGATCTGTATCATCAAAAACTGGCTAAAGATTGTATGTACCAGATTGTAAAGACGTAATTCTGATGGCTCTACTGCAGGTTTAAACACAAACCTAAAGCACCATTTTACTTAAAGTACTAAATGTCGTCCTGCTTCAATATAAATTACATGCATCAACTGTTTTAATTGTAATACAAGTGTTTTGGTGTACAGCAAAGAAATTTGATGGATAGTGAAACAGTTGACAGTTTGTTTCACTGACAAACTTTAGGAATGTTTTCCTACTTAAATGTTGGTAACTACTCAATTTCGGATGCTGGGTAAAAACATTTACTTACTTGCTATAGAAAATAGACTTTCCCAAAGACTTCCTTTATCCTCAAGGACAAAACTCCAATGTTTCAGTCTTCAAAATGGCACACCCTTTAGTGAAAACAAACAAGATTCTATGCAACTTACTGATGAAGCAATCAATAGCAAGTAGTAGAAATGTGTTTAAAAACTTTTTAATTATATAAAAAAAAACACAAACTAAAATCTATACTCAAAACCTGATTTGTAAAATGCTTTTCCCCTAAACCTTATTAGTATGAATAGCAAACTAGTTCAAATTTTCCAATAAATGTAGTTCTTCCAATAGTGAAAAAACTAAAATCATTTGCACAGTATACCAAAGGAAAAAAATATACCTTGGTTCATGATATTCCTCAAAATATAATCAGTCTTTTCTCGTTCCCAAAACTAAACAAAAGCTTAAGGACCTTCGATGTTTTAAACTATTCAAAGGGTAAGTTACAGTGGCTATACAGATACTTTCAATCTTTCATACAGCAAAAGGGTTTAAAGCTTTATAAAATTACTTTTGATATTTAGTTTACTCATATTCATAATCACAACTTTTAAAAGATCTCACAATCAACATTCACTGGGTACTTGAAATATAAAATATTAAAGAGCAAAACAAAAACCTAGTAAGCTCATTTTTGTATCAAAGTAATAATTTACCCAATCTTACCTCAAATAAAAGAACTGTATTTTTTCAGAACCATCAGCAACCAAGTTAATTTAAATCTTGTAAGTCACCTTTAAAAAAAAACAAGAAAGACGGCATTAATTTTGCGATTTTTAAACACTTCTGGGCCAAGAATTCAGTGTTATGAAACAATAAAATATTCCAAATCTATGGGCAAATTTAAGAGACGGCTCATCAACACCCAACCTGTACACTTCTGGCTGCAATTATTTTTTATCGTAATATCTATCAGTCTTTGTTTTCCTCATCTTTTGGTTGTATTGGCAAACACTAAAGATTAAGGAAATTGATTTTTTTTTAAACACAGAAAATTCAAATTTTTGGACTGATTTAAGATTATAACCCTGATTTTATTTTTATTTTTCCTCTTTTCATGCCAGGCAATAAACAAAAACAAAGAAAAAGTTTGTCATTCTTAACAACAAATAATCTTACGTAGCATCTACAGATATCTTTTACGTTATGAGCAATTAAAAATTAAGTCCTCCACAAGAAATTAGTGAAGTTAAAATGGCCACTGGTTACTTTAAATTTTAAACCACAAGTTACTTGATCTCACCAAGTAGGATATTAGCTTTGTCTTTTAAGCAAGTCTAAAACTTGTAGTATCTATGACCTTTACTCAATTTCAAACCAGGGTCTGGAATATTTTCAGTCTTTCTCCTCCCCCATTTATCATGTAAAAAGATCTTTTGAGGTTAAACTGCTAGCAATTATTTTGCATTTCACAATTCTAAAGAACTAGAATCAAAATATCCATTTAAAACAACTTCCTGTGTTCAAAAATTTCAAAAACATTGATTTGAAAAAACAAAACTGGTACTTAAACAACAGATTCTGTAAAATCAAGATATGCGCAACTGATATAAGATATAACACTAAAAGAAAGCTCTTCAACAAAAAAACAATTTTACTGGAAAAATAGCCTTAAAAATTTGGTCAAACAAACCAGTATCTTTGATTTTAGATGTACTCTGTACGACTGCCCAACACTATTTTTACGTAGATCTGCACCTTTACAACACAAGAGCTCCGCAGAATGAAGACAAATATATTCTAAAATACACAAAGGTTCGTGCGTTTCTGGTTTGTTCTCCAGACCACTAAACTTACAAATTCCGTTTCAAGCATTTCTTAAAACTGGAAACTATACAGAGAGCTCTGCAAAATATTTTGAAATTCGTACTTTTAAAATACTGCTCCGTTTTCAGCACATCTAGATTTTTATACATGCAACAAATGCAACAAATATGGCTCCTCTTCATCGCCCATTACCGAGCAGTCTTACTTCAATATTTACACTACGAGAAAGTAACTTCACGAAAAGATTTGGTTTCAGAATATTCTTTTGTCTAAGTTTTTCGATCACGGCTTGTGATAAACCTTAAAAATAATGAAATGACGAACTTAAACTTCTAACGACTAGCAATTGACCCAAGTACGTTCTAGCATTCAGGTGTGAGAAGTTACAGATAACGGCTCCTTGTGACCTTCTAAAAAAGTACCAAACAATACATTTAATCTTATTTAAGTATCAGGAAGTCAAATAACCTTGGCGTCATTACTCCGTGAAATAAACTCTATTAATCAAACGTCATCATCTAGCACCATAATTATCAAATCTATTTCCATCAAACAGCCTTGACGAGACAGGAAACTTGTCTTCGCAATTTCAGAAATATCAGTCGCACTCCTCCAACTTGCATTTTTAAAAGACAACCTCACGTCATAAAGGCTTAATAAGCAGCAACTACCTTCGCATATGTAACACCGCAGCCGTTGCAAAATCGGCTTTCAAAGAGTTAAAAGCCAACACCCAATAGGAGGGGAAAAAAACAAGTTTTATTTTTGTTTAAACGTTGTCCGGGTTCCATTGTTCTTTTTAAATTCGACCATGAACATGAATTCCCACCTCACCGGAAAGAGGTTAAAAAGCTCCTCCGCGGGCGAACCTGAAAGGGGCTGCTTTCACCCTAAATATCGAACAACTCACCAGCACAGAAAGGGGCTCTCCTCGCACAGTCGCCCCCTCCGGGCTCGTGCCGACGGCCACCCGCCGCCGCCCCTTCCCGGCGGGTCGCAGTCC